CAGAAGCTGGGTGCGGGGCTGGGAAGCCGCGGCCGGGGACGCTGGCGGACGCTTCCCTGACCGGCACCCAGCTTCTGTGGTCAGGGATCCCAGAAGCTGGGTGCCAGGCTGGGAAGCCACTGCTGGGGACGCTGGCGGCGGCAGACGCTTCCCTGACCCGCACCCAGCTTCTGTGGTCATGGATCCCAGAAGCTGGGTGCGGGGCTGGGAAGCCGCGGCCGGGGACGCTGGCGGACGCTTCCCTGACCGGCACCCAGCTTCTGTGGTCAGGGATTGCAGAAGCTGGGTGCGGGGCTGGGAAGCTCCCGGGACTGCCAGCTTCACCTGTGCCCAGCTCCCATCGCTGGCTCCACCCCTACTCCCCGTGAGGCAAAGGCGCCGGATTCTCAGATCATGGTGGGGGCCTTTGCCCTGCCCCCCGGCTCTTAGCTCCCCCCTGGTATTCCGATCACTGTCAGTGGCAGGGGGCTTCTTACTGCTTTCCCTTTCGCCTCCCTGCATTGTGCCTACATATGCAAATTAACCACCATCTTTGTTGGCAGTTAACCGCCATCTTAGTTGGCAGTTAATTTGCATATCGCCCTGATTAGCCAATGAAAAGGGTAGCGGTCGTACGCTAATTACCATGTTTCTCTTTTATTAGTGTAGATACTTAGAGTCCTCATGTAAGTTGTGGTGGAAAGGGGAATTCCTATAGATTCAAGATGCTATTTCCTGTATGACAAATTTATTTCTAATGAAACTGCTTTTATTGTCCACAAGGTTCCTTTGTGTCCCAGAAGGCAATTTAGAATGGGGTATGTTTAGAGTTCAGATCACTTAGCAAAATGTTATGCCAATGCTAATTAGATGACAATTAAGTCAACATATACATAAGTTTTATCATTTGACTTTGGTGAAACTCTAGCTTTTAAATATGCATATTATAATCAGGCTTTCATAAATTCAGGTAAAATTCAATATAATAACATATCTCCCATTTGATCAAAGCTTGTCTGATGAGAGGGCCACAGAAAGAGAAACACATACTTTTCCAAAAACAAGATGTGTACAAGGCTTAGAAATGACCTTTATAATACAATGAGGCACCGTTCAACTGTGTAAAAATTAACAAGTGTTAATACCTACGTTGTTAAGACTGTGTTACAAACTAATAGTAATATGTGCAAACACAGCTCAATGTTTGTGAAGGTTATCAATCAACAGTTGATCGTTCAAGAAAGAACACAGGCTTCAGAGCTAGAGTTGGGTTGAAATCCCAAGCAGCTAATATCCAGGTCAAGATCTTAAACCTATTACTTATATTCTTTATTTATAAGATGAGAATATCATAGTATTTATAACAGAGTTGATGTGTTATTCTCAGTCCTCTCATGTCACATATTCAGCACATGGTTTAATCAATTATGCACTAGGCTGAAAATGTATTGAATTTCTACAGATAGAGAATGGAGAGGAGCATATTTTTCAGGCTCATGAAAAAGCCTGAAGGAATGCCTACACACATGAAAGTACATGATACATTTGGAAAAAGTCTGGAATATAAGGTTCATGGAGGCTATAAAAAAGAAGAAAAGGCATTTCATCAATCCAACATTTAATGCCAAGAACTGTGCCAAGTGCTCCACATGTTAACATACATAAGCAATGATCCCTGTTCCTTAAGAACTGCACAGTTCACTTGGGAAGTTTGACAAGTGAATCAACCAGAGTACAGTAAGAAGTTCAATATGGTTGAAACGTAAAGAAAGTATTTAGAGAATAAGCCAGGATATATTATAAAATGCCTTTACTGCTAAGTTAAGGAATCCAGGTCCAGGAAATAAACTAAGATCTTCTTTTAAAATTTGATTTCAGAGATGAAGGGAGAGAGATAGAAACATCAATGATGACAGAAAATCATTGACTGGCTGCCTCTTGCACGCCTCACACTGGGGATCGAGCCCGCAATCTGGGCATGTGCCCTGACTGGGAATCGAACTGTGACCTCCTGGTTCACAGGTCAATGCTCAGCCATGCTGGCCAGGCCAAACTAAGAATTTTTTATTTCATTCTGTGGGTTATGGAAAGCATTAAAGGCTTCAGTGGAGGCCACTGAAGTGATTCTTCAGTCAACAAAGAGAAGATAATAAATAGGCTAGAATCCAAAGGCATGGAGACTAATGCCAGGTGGCATCTGTAAAAGTGCTGGCACCATATGATAGAGTCCTGTACGAGAGCGTGGACAGAGAGGGAAGTATGACTAACAAGATACATCAATCATATCAAACTTAGGCCAAAGGAAGGAACTGAAAACTAAAAGAGAAGTGATTGTATCTTCAGCAAGACAATGGCATTTGGGGTAAAAGGAAAACTGTTTTTAATTAAAAGAGAACAACTAAAATATGGATATTGCTGAATCCTGATTCTAACCAAACTATAGACATTTAGGGAAATCTGAATAAGGAGTGGCTATTAAGTGATATTGATGGATAATGACAGGTGCTACTAGATGGATAATGATCTTATTTTTTAGAGATGTACAGTGAAGAGTTTAGGATCATGATGGCTGAGATTTGCTTTAAACAACTTCAAAGAAAATGTTAATGAAGCAATTGTAGCAACACGTTGATAAATATTAAATCTAGGTGAAGAGAGATAGACAGTTACACTATCAGCTTTTACGTCTGAAAATTCTCATAAACATTTTCCCCTGGCCAATGTTGTTCAGTTGGCTGGGCATCACCCCATGCACCGAAAGATGGCTGGTTTGATTCCAGTCAGAGCACATGCCCACGTAGGGAATGTGCAGGAGGCAGTTGATAGATGTTGCACTCTCACACTGATGTTTCTCTCTCTAAAAGTCAATTAAAAAAAATTTTTTTTTTTTGCCATAATACAGTTGTCCCTCAGTATCCACAGGGGATTGGTTCTAAGAACCCCGTGGATATCAATCTGCAGATGCTCAAGCCCCTTATATAAAATGATGCAGTATTTGCATGCAATCCATATTTGCATATAGGCTACAGCAGGTATGCCTCCACATCACTTTATTCTCCTGGATTCAACATAACGCTTGGGGCATGGCAAATTCAAGTTTTGGTTTTTGGAACTTTCTGGGATTTCTTTTTTTCTTGAATATTTTTGATTTGCCATTGGTTGATTCAACAGATGCGACACCCGTGGATAAATAAAATTCTATTTTTAGTAGATCTGTTTTGATTTACTTGATAGACTTACATGGAGACCAACTGGCAGCTGGAAATTTAGGCCTTGAGCTAATGTAGATTTGGGAACATCTGTGTAGTGGTGACAGCTGAAGCTTTGGGAGTGAAAGGGCTCACCAGGGAGACAGTATAGAATGCAGCAACCAATGAATGAGCACCTATGTCTCAGGAGGTAGGCCTCTGTTTCAGGAGCAGGCAGACAGAGATGAAATAATGAGGGAGAGAAGTGAGAGCACAACCAGGAGGGTGAGAAGTCAAGAGAAGAGAGAGTTGTGCAAAGATCATCATGAGGTAGAAAGCAGAGTGCAACAGGGTTAAAGGCAGTGAACACAGGGTTTCTTTTCTTTAAATATATTTTTATTGATTTCAGAGAAGAAGGGAGAGGAAGACAGAGATAGAAACATCAATGATGAGAGAGAATCATTGATTGGCTGCCTCCTGCACACCCCACACTGGGGATCAAGCCCGCAACCTGGGCATGTGCCCTTGACCAGAATCGAACCTGGGACCCTTTGGTCTGCAGGCAGACGCTCTATCCACTGAGCCACAGGGTTTCTTTATGGGAAGCTGGATTAACTGCTTAAGTAGGAAGCATAACTGAGAAGGGCTAGAAAAGGATGATCAGAGAAGAGGATTACAACTGAAACCAGAGCTTTGTGCATCCTATGGGGAAATTAAAATTAAACCCAAGAAACATTTCTCTAAATTCTAACTGCCCATAGAGTTTAAAGCACCTAGTTTATCATTGGAGAATCACCCTTTATTGCTGGCCTGTCCTAAAACTAGTTTTTAGTTTCACCTTTTCAATCATAATATGTAAGTTCCTTAAGGACACTTCTCATTCTTTGACTGTATTTCATATGTAGTATATGTTAAATAGGTACCTGATTAGCTTTGGGAGGGGATGGGGAAGATAAGAAGAACAGAGGAAGGCCGAAGAACTCTGGTCCCAAATCCTCCTTTTGGCTCTGAAGTTACCAAAATCTACTAGAAAATGAGTTACTGATATTGAACAGTGTGCCATTTCCTTTGAAGCTCCCAGGTACAGACCTTTTAACAGGCTCATCAGTATTTCCCAGCATTTACTATGCTGCAGTGTTTAAGGTCCACCTGGATAGGCATTGGCACGTTCTACTGTCAGACGTATCCCAGGTGCCAAGTGCATCATTTACACTGTGCATACTGAAAAGGAGCCTGCAATGTTACAGAACTCAACTGATTTCATAAAATCAATTTTCTAAAGTATAAATGTGGAGTCAGGCAACTGTCATCTGAAAGTCCTGATTAAAAGGGTAAAAGGAGCCCTATCATTTCATTTCTAATTAATTCCTATTCATCATGGTCTAAAATTGTGTTCTTATCGTTGATTTTACAGTCTTTCTTTTTTTATTCTTGAACATCATATACACATTACACTTTGTAGTTATTTTTTGCATACTATCAAAGAACCAAATTGACAATTCAAAACTGAGTCTTTTTTTGTGTCTGTGACATGAAATACCTTGCATATTTTATATAAGGAATCTTGTCCATCTCCTCCTGTATCCTTAAAGTAGTCATGGGCTGGGAATGTCCGGTTAATATCCCGGGTGATAGCACTGTCCTGAGGAGACTCCTGTGAAAACATAAGGAAAGAGAAGGCTTAGCGGTCTGTCATGTACCTATTTGTTTCGGTTTATACTAGTACAACAAAGTCTTCTCATTTACATGCTTTAAGATGCTTCAGGAACATATATACACATATGCATGCCCAGAGTTACTACATCTTCAGGAACCAACTACTCAAACAAAAGCAAAAGCTAATATTAAGGGGGGGAAAGATTGAAGAAAAGCAACCTGTTTCACTCTATACACCTCATGTATAGTCCATCCCTGCTGCAAGAAAGTGGAGCTGGTGCCTTTCTATTGTAACAGGTAAAATGTTCTATTCAAAACAGACTTCCCATTGGAAAATACCATAGCTAATCTCAAAAGGAGGGAAAGTGCTCCTGTTTAAAAAAAACTGGGTACAAGAATTGCTACTTTAATTGATCCTTTGGCATGAAGATCATGTGTCAGGTTCTCAATAGAAAAGAGAAGCTCATGACATGTGTAATACTTTTAACAATAAAGAATTATTAAATAAATAAATAAATAAATAAATAAATAAATAAGAGAAGCCCCTGAATTGGGTTTATCCTAGGTGCAAGTGGCATAAAAATTTACACAGCAGTATAAGCAATATGAAGCCAGTCCACCAAATGCCAAGGGATTCAAACAGGCTATGGGAAAATATCCCTTGCTTTTGCCAATGGAGAAAAACTGTTTCCTTGTTTGTCATGACACAACTAAAACTGAACAAATGTCAATAATGTCAACAATCCTTCATAAAATATACCAAGCATCCAGCTATTTCTAATATCTTCCCCTTGTTAAATTTTATTTGCTCACATGTTAAAGAACTGGAGAACAGAAGCATGGCCTTCAATTTTAACAATGCACTGTCTTCATAGTCAAGACAATAGCCTTGATTCTCCTTAACACATTAAGCGCCCAGTCAGTCACCGCTGACTGACACTATACTTTCCGTCCAGAAGACAAAACAGGCTGGGCGCTTAACGTGTTAAGGAGCCTACATCATATTCAGGACACCATCCAAGAGCCTGACAACTCCTGTTTCAAGATGAAAAATTAAAGTGATATTCCTCTCTCGTCCAGTAATTTCCCTAGCCTTCCAGCTAGCTATGTTCCCAGGGTCATAAATTCTTTACGATTGTGGGATCTGACTAATTTAAAGCCTATGCTCTTTCTTAACCGGTAAACTATTAAAACCTTCAAAGACATTGCCAAACTGCTTTCCAAGGAGCTTTACTGGCATAGACAACAACAGTTAAGGCAACTCAGAACTGTGGTGATTCCTGACAAAAGGACAAAATTCAAGGTGAGACCCAAGACTACAGAAGTATCACCTGGTGGCAGCTTCCAGGCTGCAGCACATTGAGAGGGAACAGAAACAGGTTTGGGTGGGGAGTGTCTCGAGCTGAGATAAGAGAGAGCAGAATTTGGGGGAGGGCAAGATAGCTGGACTGTGTAGGTCTTAGAAATACTGAAGATAAAAAGGCGAACAGAGAGGGAGCTGCAGAGCTATCTAGAGGGTCCCTGTGAGTCATGAATCAAAAAACAAAAATGATAAACTGGACTTCATCTAAATTAAAAAGTTTAGTAAAGCCCTATTAGAATAATGACATTATTAAATTTGAAAAGAATCTGAAAACAAATCACAGTAACATTATGGATGATTCCTTCCTAAGAGGACACAGCGAAGAGTTTTGCAAAAAATCCAAACCCAAGTGCTTGTATAATTAAGGTTTATATAACAACACAAAGGTCTTTTATTTCTAGGCAGTTACAGAGTTGATACAGGGAATTTGCTGGCACAAAGCATATTGGATAACACTATTCATATGGCCAAACTGCTTAAGTCAACTACATACAGCTTCTCAACCAGACTGTAGTTGGTAAAATGGCTTAACAAACAAGCTTTCACAAATGTCCTAAAGGCAATCATACAGAGACGTAAACTTAAAAGAAGTGGGAATGGCAAAACTACTGTCAGTTGGTATGCCCTGAAAACTATTGAAGTTAAGGTAGAAATAATTTTTGGGATCAGCTGGTTTTATTTTTTGGCTGCTTCATTTAATCTCAAGAAAAACAGCTTTAATCTCCAGAAGAAAACTAAAATGCCATATGATTACTCAGTATTAACATCTTGCAAACTTTTTCTATTAAAAGTCAGATAGCATATATTTTTGGCTTTGTGTTGCAGTTACTCAACTCTCCCATTTGTAGAGCTATCGTAGCTATCAATAATATTTAAATAAATAAACATTTCTATATTCTAATACAACTTTATTTACAAAAACAAGAAGCATGCTAAATTGGCCCCCAGACCACACTGTGCCAATCCCTGCTTTAAATAATTTATTACGGACAACATGACTGGAAAGATTTTTTGTAATGATTTTAAATACACTGACATGCTACTTCTGATTAATTTCATGCATGCTTTACCTGAAGAAATTCTGCAATAAGCTGCAATAACTTGAAATGTATATTCCTTTGAATATATGGTTTTCATGTAATAAAAAAATTTTTAAATGTCTGCTCCAATTTACAAAAGTCAATTCTCAAAGTACTCTATGTATTTCTGTATCGCCTGTGTTGAAAAGGTTTAAAGAAAACCCTGTAATTATAGTGATCTATTGTCCCCTACATTTCAAGGAGCAATATAAACAGTATATATAGTTCAGAAATTATAAACACACACACTGCAACATATTAGACTGGCTAAAGTAAACAGACAATACCAAGTGTTGGTGAGGATATGAAACTATCAGGACTCTCAATTGTTGCTGAGGGAGGTGTAAAATAATACAATTTGGTGAATTACAGGGCAGTAAACACACATCTACCGACACCCAGCAATTCCACTCCTACCCAGAAGAAGCAAAAACACACATCCAATAGAAACAACCTATGTACAAAAATGTTCAGCATAACCTTATTTGTAATAGCTAAAAATTAAAAGCCCCAAATGTCCCCCATAGAGAAAGCAATAAATAATGGTATATTCATGTATGGAATAATACATATGTTGCTGAAGAGAATTTCATTAAAAACTGTATTCTAGCCCTAACCGGTTTGGCTCAGTAGATGGAGCGTCGGCCTGCGGACTGAAGGGTCCCGGGTTCGATTCCGGTCAAGGGCATGTACCTTGGTTGCAGGCATATCCCCAGTGGGGGGTGTGCAGGAGGCAGCTGATCGATGTTTCTCTCTCATCGATGTTTCTAACTCTCTATCCCTCTCCCTTCTTCTCTGTAAAAAACCAATAAAATATATTTTTTTAAAAAAACTGTATTCTAGAATATCAGCACTTCTAAAATTTATTCACTAAACAAATAGTAAGAATGAACACCTCACACTAAAACCCAAATCTTTTGTATTTTGCCTTCCCATACTCCTGCCAAATGGGACTACTCACTGTTCCCCAAACATAACCCCAAATTAATGACATACTTTATTGTATTTTTAAAAAGAAAAATCTAACTTTTTGTTTTCTTAGTATAACAAAACCTTTTTGCTTTCTTATTTTAATAAAAAAAAAATTTTGCTTCCCTGTAATAATAATACTAGTGGAAAATAAGAAAAAAGAAGTAACTGCACAACTCAGAAATAACTAACTTATGTTAGGTAGGTATATGCCTAACTTTTTACAGTTAATTTTTATAAGTTTACGCTGCTTTGAAAATTTATTTTTACTAACTGCAAAAGATGTGAGCATCTTTTCATGTTACTTGACAATTATCCTACTCTCCCATTTTTAACACACAGTAACTTGTCACATGGCTATGCCACAATTTACTAGGCCAAATATCCAACTCTGGAATATTCAGGCTATATATACCACTTCTTTTGTAGAGCCGTGATTCTTAAAGAAAAGAAAATGGTTTCCACAGTCACTCTATTCCCCCAAAGATCTGGCATGACCCGTGTTTTGGATTTTGAGTTATTCTGCCCATTTGTCCTCTAGAACAGTTATATCAATTCAGACATCACGTTGGTAGGACTCTTACAGCAGATATCCTGCTGATTTGGAACAGTCACTGATATACTTGTCTTGCCCTCCTTCTAGTCTACATATAACTAAGAATTGTATTTAAAGTTGCAAAGAACTGCATATAAACTTTATTGACTCCATCCCTTTAGAATTCCAATGCTGAACCCACATGCTGGCTGATAAGAAAGGCACTATCGTACATATATTTTCTTGCTTTGTCAGTTAAGAGGGCTTAGAAACAATAACACCCAGTAGAAATGGGTTTCAGAATCTTGGTTTCTAATTTACCAATACAAGGAAACAGGGCTTCTTAGAGAAATGGTTGATTCTAGGACTGGGGTAGGAAATATACAAGATGAACTGGAACTTACAGAAGTACCAGCGAGTAAGGAAATGCTCTCTGGATGACTATTTTTATACCAAGTCCCCCAACACAAAGAACACAAATGCACAACAACAGGAGTATGTCAGAGGGACACAAGAGCCAATTAGAAGAGTTCCCAATGGCCAAAGCTGGGAAACTTGAGCAATAAAATAAATGACGTAGCACTGGATTATAATCTAAAGTATAAAATAAATACCTAGCATAGTAAACTCCTTAAGAAGAGTACAGTGTGGAAAGGGGGGAAAGAGCAACCTAACAATGGAGAAATCTGGCAAACATGACCTCAGTCAAGGAATTAAGGTCACCATCAACAGTGATAAGTCATGCTGGAAGGACGTGACCCTTGATATGAGGTAATGAAAACGATACTTTTATTTGTGCACTCTTCTTCAAAACTTATAAACCTCATGAGAAAAATTAGGCAAATTCTAGTTGAAGGGCATTCTATAAAATACCTGGCCAGTATTCTTAAAAACTGTCAAAGTCATCAAAAACAAGGAAAGTCTAACAGATGTTACAGTCAAAAGGAGACATGAGGACTAAATATAATGCAGTATCCTGGATGAAATCTGAAACAGAAAAAGGTCATTAGGTAACAACTAAGGAAATTTAAATAAAGTACCGACTTTAGTTA